CCAGTCTAGATTATCCGGAGAACATGCTCTGCCTTCCCCTGACCTCAGGGAGCCCCCCCCCTCACCCACCATAAGCTTCTGGAGCCGTATTCTGAAGCTGCGGTCATGTTCCTGAAATTTCGTGTTTCCTGGACATTTCGGGGCACAGCGCTTCAAACGGGACCTGCATTCCTTTCACCAGGGGCCAAGTTCACACTGTCCCGGAAGAAACCGCAGAATCCATCGCTCCGCAGCTCTCCCGCAGCAGTCCGCGGCGCTCCAATGCAGCGGTTTTGCCAGGTCCCCACTCGGCGACTGACTCCCACCGGACCGCGGTCCTCAAGCGCAGAGCGATCTCAGGCTCCAGTGTTCGATGACCAGGCCAAAAGGGGATCTTTGGGTCACTGTTCCCTAAACTGGAGCTGGCCTTACCGCTCTCCTGCCTCTCAAAAGGACAGGCTAGCGGTCCTTCAGCAGCAGTGGCAACCTGGCCTCTTAGACATTACCCTTCCACCTGCCACCGCATGGCAGTGCGCCAATCTGCTTAGGTTAGTTTCCATTGCATGCACTAAGCCCGGAGGGCGAGAGGGAAGTTGACTATTAGAACCTGTATTCTGTAAACTTTCCATCCCAGCCTTCTAGGGTGCTGTGACCTAAGAGAGCTCTGGTTTAGGGGGTCCGGGCCCAGCCCTTGCTCGCGTATGGCGGGGAGGAGATCGAAGAGAATTCTGCTTTCTTGTCGCTGCCCGGATGAGTCCAACTGGCCAGAGCACAGGCCAAGCGCTCACATCCGAACTGGGCCCCTCGACACCCGAGGGCAGTGGGGTCTACGCGCTCTACAACTCTGCGGGACTCCAGGCCAGGTCTTGCAGAGGCCCGCCGGAATGCCGAAAGCCTTGGTCCATTAGAGCGCTCCCGGCGCCCTCGCAGCTACAAAGCGGGTTAAAGTCTATTTTCCACTCGACTGCTCCGAAAAGCCCCCGCAAACCAGTGCCATTCCGCCCCCCCCCCCGCCTTGGGCGAATTGGGGAGGAGGCGGCGAGAGGAGGCTGAAAGGGGACGGCACCTTGCAGCCCTTTCGCGTCCTGGACGACCCAAGGCCGGACATTCGGGCCTCCCTGGGGACCCACTGGTTATCCGAACCGCGTTGAGCGCCCAGTCTCTCACAGGCTTCTCCGGATCTCTGCGGCTTCCTGTGATTCTTTTTCCCCCTCCCCGTTCCTGTCTCGGACTGTCCCCCTTCATCTCCCGCTTCTCTGTCCACATAACGCCTAATTCCTCCCCCTTTTCCTTTGCCACATCCTGTGTCTAAGGGACGTTCCTGGCTGGTCGGGGCTTGATCACTAAAATGGCAGAGGTGAGGATCTGGAAGTCGACCTGTCTTGTTGGAGCAAGGCCTGGGCAGAGACGCAGGTTCCAGAGACTAAAATTGTCTAGGCTATGCTCTGGGGTGACAACCAAGTGCTGGGCTCTCTATGTTGCCTTGCTGGTCTCTGGAGGCTGAATCCTCCCGGCCCATCCTTAGGCTCCCATTTTCTTTCACCTTCTTGTCGAGCCTGGGCAGCAGCTAAGAACTTGTTAAAGGAGGCAAATCATGTCGGGGAGCTGGGACTGTCTGCACCATCCCAGTCTTGTATCTAAAGCACCTGCTCTGGTTCAGAACTACTCATAAGTCACAGACTTTGTAGACCACAGCTTTCCTTGTAGTGCCTTTGAAATTCTTTGAAATTTTTTGTTTTGTTTTTAATCCCCTTCTACGGATGATGAAGTAGAGCACGGCTTGACCCGAGTCTGGCTATCGCCTGGGTGGAGTTGGAGCTGCCCAGTGATCCTGGCCCAAGCCAGGTTCCACCCCTAATCTGATCTCTGTGGCTACGGGCTGCCCAGACTTATCTCCCTAGGATGAGATGCTGGCATTCTTTGGGCAGTTTTTCCACTCACCCTTCCTCCCTGTTCCTTGTCTGTTATTCCCCAATTCCCTCCTGTCCGTCTGTAGGCATTAGTCCCTTGCCTGGTTCCCTAGTTTCTGTTCCCCTTAGGGCCTCTTCTTTCTAGCCCCTCCCCTGCAGCAACCGGAGAAATCGCTGAGGCTTCCATCCCTTTCTGGATTTTGCTTCAAAGTTCTGACCTTCACCCAGTTCCCTCTTCATGCCCTCTATCTACCCTGCTCTGCCCCTCCACAGCTTGCAAACCTCTCCTACCTTCCCTTACAAAAACACCCCTTCCTTTCACCTTCTGACTGCCGCCCACTTTCTCCAAACCTATGCTCTTCCTTCCCATCCAAACTGATAAGCCTTGCAGGAGATGCCGGCCCATCACACACACACACACACACACACACACACACACACACACACACACACACACACACCAGGCTGTTTTCATCTCCCTCTGTAGCTGTCCAACCCATTGCTTTGCTTTCTTAGGAGAAGGCTGGCTCCTACTTTGCTGATCAAACCCGAACCACCTGTATTAGGTTGTCTCTTTCTCTTTCCTCAGTCTCTGAGATGGCATGGACCTGAATCCAGACTCAGTGTACTGGTCCAGGAGACTTGATCAAGAATCTTGCTTAGGAGCTGGCTGTTGTGGCACTCACCTTTAATCCTAGCACTCAGGAGACCGAGGCAGGTGAATCTTTATGAGTTCGAGGCCAGTCTGGTCTACAGAGTTCCTGGACAGCCAAGGCTACATAGAGAAAGTTTCTGTTGCTGCCCACTTTGTTGTGGTAAACTAAACAAGCATCTTCAAATCTTCCCTTTAGCTGCAAGGCTATGGTGCAATGTCTGGCTAAGCCAGGCAATTTCTCCATCAGAGCCCATGCTAGGTGGGAAACTCCATCCAACACCCCATCCTCATCCATTTCCCTTCTAGTTTCCATCTCCCTGCTTGCTCTTCAGCCTCCCCTCCCCTGCATGTCTCTCCACCCTTCAGAAGACTTTTCTGTCTTCATGTTTCCCTCTGTCTCTTGACTTTTTTTCCTTAATCATCCTTCATTTTTTTTCTCTTTGAGACAAGATCTCACTCCATAAACCTGTAACTCACTATGTAAATCAGGCTGCCTTAAACTTGAAGTGATTCTCTTGCCTCTGTCTCCTGAAAACTGGGATTTGGCAAGTGTAGCCAAGCATAGCTGACCATCCAGTTTTCTGAAAAACTTTAGCCTCTGACTGATTCTCTCATTTCCTCTGTACTCATGCCCTTGCAGCCAGACTTTTACACTATCATAATGGGAAAGCAGTTTGCAAGACTCCCCAACTTTCATGACCATGTCCTTGCAAGAGCAATATATGCTTAAGATGATGACAGGACCAGCCTCCTGGAGTTATTGTGGGGCTGAATGAGTTATGAGTTACTGTCCCCACATGGTAGACTTTCGGCAGTGCCCAGCACATAGTAAACCCTTAATAAATGCTAGCTGCTGTTACTTTATAGAGCTGTGTTCCCCAATTCGGGAGCCAAGTGCCACATATACTAAATGAATAAAATGTTGATGGTCCAAATTTTAATGTTCAGAAAATGTATATACCATACTTGAACACACAGCAGGAAGTTCGACAATGTAAAATAATATACATACGCCAGTTGGGTGTTAGGCAGTGTTTTTAAAATGTAAAATATCGTCTTAATATTTTCTATATTAGTTGCACATTGTAATGGATATATCAGGTTAAGTGAAATTTGCTAAGATTTTTGTTTTCTTTTTAGCGTTTTTTGTTGTTGTTGAGACAGGATCTTATTATGTAGCCCTGGCTAGTCTGTCTTTGTTTGTGATCACACCTAATCCTGTTTTCTTTTAACTATTCAATATGGATGCTATAATACTTAAAATTCTGTGTCTCATATACATTTCTATTGAACACAGTTGCTACAGAAAATAGATTTAGAAATAAAAAGGAGCAGGAGAGGCAGAGGTAGAGGTGGCGCTCACCTTTAATCCCGGCACGTGGGGAGCAGAGACAGGTGGATCTCTGAATTCCAGGCCAACCTGGTCTATAGAATGAGTTCCAGGACAGCCAAGGCTACATAGAG